TTGCTTGTCTGCTAACAGTGAAGTTTGAAGAAAGCTTGGTTATAAAGCACATCACTTATTTCTCATCTGGAGCATGGATCTTTCTTCTTTTCCAAATGTGATACTAATAGAGACTGAGAAAGCAGCATGTTTTTACTGAACAAAAAACTTATTTCTTTTTTTAACTATAGCTATAGGCTAAGTTGATAATTTATTAAATCAGGATTCAGTTTCCTTTTCTTTTAGTTTATTTTTAGGTTCTATTTTATTTCAGAGAAGAATGCAGGTGATATGTATGCAGACAGCTAGAGGAAAAAATGCTTTCCAGGAAGGAAATGCTTGAATGTTAGGCAGTGGCTGTACCATCTCTCTTGTTCCTTTCAATAAATTAATTTCTTGGGGAAAAAAATGATCATTAGATGATTTAATGTAGTGAGATCACATTGCATATGCACTACAATTTCTTGCACTGATTCTGCAGCAATTAATTTCCTCATGGTCTTCATGCATAACCTTTTATAGTGCAATATTTTAGGTATGTTCCTCCTCAGATGTTTTGTAGCAAAGGCACAAAAAAACCCAAAGCAAAACAAAAAATAACACACAGACAGAGGCTTGCCTGAGGCTAGGGTAGTTCAGACCCTTGAGGCTATGCTTATTTGTTCACACAATGGCACCTTACTGTGACACTTGCTGCATATCTTCAGTTGAAGTTATAAGCACTATGTACCTCTGCTATCACAGGTTTCTGAAGTGGAGAACTAGAAAATGAGAAAATATTCAGTTTGTGAACACTTGTCATTTAGTATTTTGGCTCTTAACCAGTCCGTAGCCATGACAGAAATTATTCTTTTTGGCTACAAATTGTGTTAACTACAGTATCATCCTTTGTATTTATTCTCTAGACTTTATAAAGTTGATACACTTTATAATGTAAAAGCAATATAGTAAACTTGACTGGTATTGCGCAGCTCCTTTACTATACAACCAGAGCATAACCATGATATAGCCTCAATATCGGTTATATAGGTTACCTCAAAGTAGGTGTTCTGCAGTTGAAGAAGAATTAAAAGAATCTGATGATGTTCTCAGTGCGGGATTCGCATTCAAAAAAATATTGATGTGGTAGAAACTGAGGACCCTTCCCCCCAGTTATTTCAAGGGGCAAGAGCAACTTCTAGTGGAACAAGAGAAGTCTTTCTTGCTCCTTTTAGGTTAAGGTGAAAGAAACTAAAATTTTTTTCTGATTGCGAAGATCCTCTTCCAGAAGAAGACTCTTGTTGGAACACCATCACCCCATCTGGCTGAGTGGACAGCCTGAAGCAGGCTTGGAGACTCTTGGGAAATGTCTCATGCTTTAAGGATGTTTTTTACCTGTGAGTTCCCAAGCTTAACATTCTGTTTTGAGCTTGGGAAAGTTGCAAGACATGAATTTTTTCCACATCTCCTATGAAATAAAATTGCCTCTGTCAATTGTTTATTTGTTGCAATCCCAATTTTCTGTATAATAAAAGCCTGAAGAAATCACTGTTAGGGGAGAGACTGTGTCCTTGCTGTCTTACATTTTCAGTCATTTACAAAGTGGTATGCCAGAGATCCTTGCATAGGGTTTTGTTTTTGTTTGTTGGTTTTTTTTTTTGCTTTTGGGTGTATCTTTGGGAAGAAACACATGTTTCTCCTCATGGTGGAGTCCTGGAAGTTGCAGTTTAAATTTGATGAAGTGTTTTATTCCCCCAGATAAAATAAATAAATAAAAAATTATATTTAAATGCATTTGTTGATGAGGAAAGTCAGGAATCTTTCTAATTAAGACATTTCTTAGAAAGGTAAAATTTTTATCTGGGAGCATAAAACACTTCATCAGTTTTAAAGCCACATCTGTAAGGACTGGATCAAGAACAGAAACAGACATTTTTCTTCATTCTGGCTTGTCTGTGAGTTTAAGACTTTTAACAACAGTTTTTAAAATAGTTAAAAACAGTTAGAAACACTTGCAGCATAACAGGGATAAGAGTGCCCTCCCTCCCTCTGTTTTTAATCTGGTTCTCTTGATGGGATAAACTACAAGGTTGAATTGGTAACTGGATTATTGCCTCATAAAACAGCACGAGGTTACTATTATCCTTTAATTTTATATCTTTATTAGGGAGTAATGTTGGTCTTATTTAAATCACTGACTTCTCTAATGGTTTTTCTCCTCCTTTACAAATTTATAAAACTAAACCCTAAAGGATTTGGTCTAAGTGCAATTGGAATAACTGCCATTATAAAAATCATTGTGTTAGCAGTTGGTTATAATCATCAGCTTTAGCTGGGCTCAAAATGTAGTAGAATTTAGCTGTTGATATCTTAGACCATTAGGTAGTGTGCTGATAAAACTGTAAGTCTCAATTTTATTTTATTTTATTTTTAAAAAGCTTAATTTCCAGTAATACAGTATTTGAATTTTGAGGCAGTGTGAAGATGAATAACAGAGCCCTGAAAATGATTATACTGTTGCATGCTTGTGGGAAGATATATTTAACACATGGTGTATTTATGCAAAGGTTAAAACAAGCTTGTCTGCAATTCAGTTAAGTAATTTAAATTCCTGAAGGTCAGCCTTTTTTAGAAGAAGGCTAATATAAATGGCATATTTAATGATGCATTGCAGTGGGATGTGTCCACGTGAATTCTGGGACACAGCTTACATGTTGTGGGTGAGACATGGGTTCTTAATGGTAAAACTCCTCTTGGACTTACATGGTCAGGATTTATTTAAAATATTGATAAACTTTATCTTTTAAGGAAAAAGGTGGCATGCATCCATTGATTTCAGTGTGATTTGGTTAAGCTCATGATTAATATGGAAAGAAATGTGAATATGGCTGTCTGTTATGGTGTGGATTCTGTAGTTGGCTTTCATAAAGAAAGTGAGTGATCAGTCACTGTCTATGAGCAACAGTCAGACTTAGAGCATTTTCTGTTTGAATGCAATCCAGGTACTGACTTGCAGTCAGTAAATTTCAAAACTGGTCAAACAATTTGTTCTGAATCTTTTATTTTACTATTGAGTGCTTGACCATTTTTTATTCTGCAGGCAATCTTACTAATGCAGTAACGTGCACACACTTCAAACTCCTAATTAAATTAAAACAGATTTTATGTTTAAGTTCTTTGTGGAATATTTTAGCATTGGTTGTGAAAATTCACCTTTGTGTTTGGTATTGCCTTCTTTGGCAGGGGCTGATGAGTAATGGCCTGCTACAGGAAATCCCATGTAGAACTGCTTTCTTTCAAAATACCCATTGTTCTCTCTAGTCTCCCATTTTAAATTTAGACTTAGGGTCTAAAACAAAAGCTTTCAATTCTCCTTTTGACTCAGCTGGACAAAGAGAACAGAAAATTTTTACAAATACAAGGGTGTTGGCTACCAAAGCCAAAAACTATGGGAGGTGGTTACCATTGTGGTGAAGGCATCCTGGGTGAAGATGTCCATGTCTTGAATCCCTTTGAAACTGAGAGGAGAGTGAAGTCATTTTGAGAGACAGAAGTTCTTTGCAGCTTTCTCTTAAGGTGAAACACATACCACAGGATTTGCTTACAGTTGGTCTTTTCCTCATGTAAATAAATGGCAAACTTAATGAAATGCTGATTAAACTTTTTTAGAAATTTAGACAAGAGGGAAGGAAAACAGGAGTGTGTAATCCAGGATTAATGGGAAACTGGAAAGTAAAGAGATTGGGGTTATAATTCTGTATGTGTGTGTGTTCTTGAAAATATCTAGTGCAAAACACAAGGAAATTTGGGGAGTTAACTCTTTGAGGACAGAGATGTGGAAGAGGCAAAGAGGAGACCAAGAGGAGAAGTGTTCATAGGTGAATGTAGGGAGGTGCATGGAATGGAAATGTGGTGCATGGGTAGAATGCTGTGGAGCTCCAGTGCATGCAGACAGAGCTATAAATCATTTAAGCTCAGATAAGTAATGGTTTCAATTATGCAGGTTGGAGATAGCATAAGGTATAAGCATTAACTGGTTGAATTTAATTCCAGGATGGATCCATAATATGTTTATGTTATTGGAAATACTCCCAATAGCTCCCAATTTCTTGGAGCACCTTGTTGATAAAAAAAAAAAAAAATCCAGGTAATCTCAGGTTGTTTGGGCTGCTTAATTTATGCATTTGCATACCATGATGTGTTTTGTTTTCTTTTGAATGTAACACTAGGTTTGATTTATAATTTTATGATTATTTATATATAAAATATCCCTGGCACATGTTTTATTTTAAATTATGCAAAGTGCTTGTTACTCTGAAGTGGATCTTTTCTGAGAATGGAGGTTGTAATATAATTGTGTGGCTTTATAGTTAAGGTTACCGTAATCATTGCTATGCAGAATTCTTAGCATTGCCATATTTAAGATCTCAATATCTGATGATAGTGATTCACCCTGTGAGAGTAGACAATTAGGCTGATGTCTATCATTTAGCACATTGCAGGGAGCTGCTTGTTATAAACCACTTTGTGTATTTTATTTAATCCTAAAGGAATTTAATGGACCTTAGAGAGGAGACTTCATGCTGATAATTGCATAATAACCTTTTTCTGCCAGACACTTCATGACTAAGAGGTTATCATTAAATGTGTATTAAGCCGTTTTGTTCTGTGTTCTATAATTGTCTCTCTAATATGTTCTCCCAAGGGTTATCTTTTGTTGTCTACTTAAACAGCTGCCTGTATTAAACATTTTAGCTTTTATATTGGCTTGTTTTCATGGCTATTTTTTCATCTAGGAGTGGAAAAGTCATTACTTAAATGTGTTTCTTTATCTGTCTGTGTATTTTAGATAGCTTCCCAAAACAATATTGGAGGCATTGAAACATTTTATATGAAATGAGGCTTCGTAGAAGTCGATGGGAACTTTGCTGCAGATTTTAGTGGAGCCACAGCCTCACTTACGGTGTTTGTTTATTGCAGATTTGCCTTAGAAGTGAGGGCCACCGACTAACGTTAAATTTTTTATCTCCTCTTTAATTTAGACCAGTGAGCTGTAAATTGAAGGGAAGATAATTTCTGCTTGTGGTGGAAAAGAAAGGTGAACAACCTCCATGGAAGACTCTCAGGATCTAAGTGAACAGTCAGTAAGTACAAATGCTGTTAAAGTTAATGGAATAAATTGAACTCTGTTCAAATTGTGTATGGAAGGATTTTACTTCAGATTTGAGAATTATAGTAAAATCTGGCAATCTTACTAGTACAATTTTACTAGACAGTAGGATAGTATCTTACTCAGATAGTAAAAACTTCTGAATGTCTAGATTCAAATATTTTCTTAGTTCATATATGAAAAGAGTAGTTTTAATCTTGCCTTTTACCTACTGGAAGATCACAGTTACACAGGATATTGCAGAACTAGATTTGTTGGAGAGTTGATGAATATAATTGATGTACACTGGAAGAAAATAAATATTAAACTATTGCACAGTGGCATGTCTTGTTCAAATAACTGTATCAAAATGTATATCCATAGTGGCCTGCCAGTTTTGCTAAAGCAAGTGTTACCAAAAACATGAAAAAGAAATGTCGGGTGATTGAGTATTGCAAATGATGTACATGAGTTCTTCTATGGCTCTCTTGACTTTCAAGAGGACTGTGAGAACTGACAGTGTATCTTCCCATCCCGTGTCACAGGGAGATGCCCTTTGTCACTGATGAAATCACTGGGAAAATTGGGTGGACATTTCATCTACATCTTTTCTAATCTTTCCTTTCCTGTAAGGATGTAGTCTCCAGACTTCCTTAGCCACCAGGCTGCAGTTCTGAGGAGGCAGTGTTCTCTGATCAAATTTAAACTTGGCTGGGTTTGCCATCCAAAGTATTGGCTTTGTTTTTAATGTCTTAATTTGTAGCGGTCACGGTGCTGGCAGATTTTGTGAGCACCATATTCCCCATGAGTCTCAGCTTGGGTTCGGTGTAGTAAAGATCAATAAAGGGACTTCATATTTCTATTTCTGACATGCTGAAAGAGGTTATCCATGTAATAAACTAGTTTTAATATCTTTTTTATAGCAGAGACTTTCATATGTAACAGAAGTGCAAGGAACTGAGAAGAGCTTGTGCATGTTTTTAAAATGTCAGTAATTTTCTTTAATAAGAAGTACTTTGCTCCTGACTGCGTAGTTCCTATCTGAGACTTTATCTTGGACTAGTATTTTATAGCTTATTTAAAATGGGACAGAACTGGAAAGTCTTAATAGCGTCTTAAGTCACTGTGGTGGCACTACTAGGACAGCTGCATGTATTTATGTACTTAAATAGTTCCCAACCAAAACTTTAGAGCATGTAAAAGCTACATGGCTTCATAATTTAATAAAGTTTTATAAAGATCATAAAAGATTAAGCAGAAGTTCTCTCATAGTCTGTGAAACAATTACTATGTGCAATACACATAGTATGGTTATTAATGGGAAGTAGATGAGCCAGTTTGGCTTAGTGCAAAAATGTGTTTTCATTGCAGTTAAAATATTTTTGCACCACTGGATGCCTGATAAATGCATACTTGAATAGACATTTTATTGCCTTATCATAGTCTAATCTCTAGTATTTTTCATAGTTACGACATAGTTTTATGCTAATGTGTGAACAGTTTTGCAGATTAAAAATTGAGGTGACATATGCTATATTGCATATAGATAGCAAACACTACTGTTAGTTTCACAGAAAGTAGTGATTTAAGGCAGGATTTTATTTTTCTACCTCTTTGCTGAACAGTGGCAGAATTTCAACATAATGGGTGGGACATTTCCCATTTCATCATTGCCTTCCTCTTAGGTGTGCACCCAGACTAAGGTCTAGCCCAGGTGTTGGGCGCTATCCTGAAAAAAGCAATTGCAGTGTGAAGCCTGTCTACCTACAGCAGATACTGATTTTCCCAATTCACAAGCCTTTTCACTGTTGTATTATAGTTGAACTCTTCTCACAGCCAAGTTTTGAAAAAAGAAAATAGTGTTTCTGGCTTAGTTCTTTAAAAGCCACAGGGCAGGACTGTAGATTCCAGGTAGAAAGAGGCATTCTCTAGCCGAGGCTTTGGTGGCTTAAGCTCCAGGAACATATCAGATGTATATGCTACACCCCTTCTTCTTGTACTGCTATGGTAGTGGTTAGCGTGTTTCGTACTGGTTAGCTCTAGGCAGCTCCTGTTCATCATGCAGGTTTTCTGTTTTTTAACATGTCCAGGGAATTTAGGCTTCAGGATTTCTCTCTGGGAGCTAGGTGCATAAGATTTAGATCATGAAAATTCTAGGCGCTTAAGGGTGCAGCCTCTGCTGTAACCACATTAGATTGTGTGAATAAGCATGAATGCAAGACCTGTGTTCAAACTTGTGCTGGCATCTTGCCCTGAATATTCTAGTCCATAATTACTTGAAAGACTGCCTGTCTCTGCAACTGAGATAGTTTAGAAGGTGCTTGCTGTTAGATAATATGTTTGATGGACAGATGAGTTTTCTGAATAGAGAGATTCCTTTATTGAATTAATTTCCCTGAGCAGTCTGTTAAGAGCCTTTCATTCTTGGTAAAGGAGTCCAGACACAGTTACGTGGAATAGTTAAATAAAGAGGCTGATTTTCAAGTTTTATTTTAAAGAAAATAAATTTGTGCTAATTTCTTCAAGTAAGTAGTCCTCCTAACAGATAATGTAATGTAGTGCACCTTTGATGAAGGTGCATTCATTTGATAAAGTCTTTTCCATAATTCTGAGATCACTGTTCTTTCTTTTTTTGTTGTCTACTCTGTCTTTTGTTCTTTTAAAATAAACTAATAAGAAACAATTGGTCCTACAATTCCTATCCTTAAACTGTGTCATGATCAGTGAAACTCACATTAATGTGGCTATGAGCAATTCCACAACATCCCTGTTAGCATATGAGAAATACATTCCCCTACTTTTGACTCCAAGTAATGACTGCATGACCACACGCTGCTTCCTTCAGCAAAGTGCACCCTTTTTCTCTGAGCCCCTACAGGAATTGCATATGACTGAAATGAGCAGCTGCTGTGTTTTCTGAGATGCCTGCTTGATTAGATATAATATATACACCATTTGTTGTGTTATGTCACTAATTTATTTGTTTTTCCTATTTTTATTTGTAGTAAACTCTTTTCCCTTGATACATTTAAAATTTTTATGCACTCCTTGCCAGTTTGTCAGACTGTAGGGCCTCAGTGTAGTGAGGAATACTTTGTGCCTGCTTTCCTTTGCCTTTTCACTCCCAGTCTTGTGTGGCAGAAGTGGAGGAATCTGTTTTTCTTCTATTTATTGCAGTATTCAAAACAGAGCCAGAATCAGAGTAAGACTTATTGTATTTTAGTTTTTCTGTCTCTTTTTTCGTGGCCTCAGAAGTAAATAGCCATATTTTGAACAGAAGGAAACTGATGCACAAGGAGAGGTGGGATCCATCAGGCACAGTTCAGTTCTAGCTGGATTCCTGCAGCCAGCAGGGAGTGGGCTGCAGTGGGGCTCATCCTTCAGTGATGCTGTGCCTCTGTGGGTGTTGTACCCTGAAGAGTTCACAGTTCTCTTTTTCTTTCCAAATTCAAATGTGCAACATGCTCGGACATCCATGCATAGGAGGGAAAATTGAAGTTAATTGGCAGAAAGGTTCAATGTATAAGTATTCTGAAAGATAAGGAAGAAAATAGCAAGACATGTACGTCACACCTAGAAGAAAATAATCAAATGGTTCTTTCATGTTCTGATGTCATGTCAGTCACCATGTGCACGCTGCTACTTACCAAGTGAAAGAACAATTAAAGCCACGTAAATTGGTTATACATGTAGCTATGAAAAATGTAGTTTTGATAACTAGTTGCCATATATTCTGTATACAACATATTAAAAAACTGTAGGAGATAAAATGAAACATAACAGATTTTGTATTGCTATTGCTCTCCTTCAGAATAAATATCCTGATTTTTCCTAAATGCTAACTAGAGATACTTTTTCAAAGGGTGCATATTAAAAATTCTTCTATTTAGTTGTGACAGAGGAGAGAAAGAAATTTACAGATCTTGTATTTATGAAGCATACAGAATTTAGGAAAAAAAATGTGTGTTTTTTATTTATGTAATTATTTTTAAGATGGAAGATATTTAATATTTTTAAGACTGTCAATGTTTAATAAAATAATAAATGATGTTTTGGGACGGATAATTATTGTGTTTTGGTATAGCAAACAGAATTTTCGGAACTGCAAAAGTTTTAAACTAATTATTTTATATTCTTCTAGTCACTATTTGCTCTTCAATCTGTATTAGTAGAAGAAAATAATTTGGCTGCTAACTAGCTAGTTTAGGGTTTCAAAGGACCTTATTAGAAACTGATGTAATTTCATCCCCTGCCCCTTTTATATAACAGTGTGCATATTTAGATTACTTCATTTTAAACTAGAATTAAACAATAGATTGCAGTTGAGTAGGACAGGACAGTAGCAAATGTGAGGCTAAAACTGGATGAATCGCTTTTTTCATTTCTGTGAAGTCTGGGCAATCATCAGCATTGTGCACTGGGTAAGTTACTTGGTTTTCATCAGATTATGTGGATCATTGTATTTGTCATTTGCATTTATATTCGACATGTAGCTGGAGTCTTTCGGTTTGTAATGTTTCTGTGGTTTTTATATTTTATTTTATTTTATTTTATTTTATTTTATTTTATTTTATTTTGTGTGTGAACGTGTCAGATGCAATTTTCTTGCATATCAGTTTTCAGGTGTAGCTGGTTCTTTGTCGCAGAGTCCCAATAGTTTCAGCTTTTGGTGAGGTTTTGTCATGTTGTAGCCTACTGTGTTTGAGCAGCCTTCTCATGCCATGAAGTTTGGAGCCCTGGTCTTTGGCTGAAGCTAATTTAAGTGAAATGAAAAATACTGTAAACTCTCTTGCCTTCTTTTAAGTGTCAGTCATACTTTAAAAGACTGTTCTGTATTACATCATAGCATGCTGTGGTTCTTATCTCTGTAATATCAATGTTTGTAGGACTTGGTATATTACAAGCAATTCATCTTGCCAAATTACAGAATTGTAGAACTGGTGGTTGAAAGGAAGCTCTGGAAGTTGTCTCGTCTAGCTTCTAGTAATGAATTGC